CCTGCACATAGCTATGGACATGGGTTACGATGAGTTTCACCTCTTCATTCGGCCCATACAGTTTGAGGCAGCAAAGTACAAGGAGGGTGCCGAGGAGGCTCGACCGCTACTCTACATAACCGCGGTTCAGGATGACGACTCAATGCTCGACAAGTAAGCACTCCGAATAATTTGTTTCCAGGATGAATTTCTGGTCTGCTCTTAGTGATTGATATCTTTAACGGGGAAATATTAACTTTTTAAGCACTGTCTCCCGGAATAAGTTCGAACAAGTCAAAGACGAAGAAGTAAGCAGAATTTACTGAGGTCATAGAATTTCGTGACGGCTTACTCAACGGCGTAGGTTATGGCCAATGACTAAGAGGATATAAACTGTCCAATTAAATATCGACATAGAGGGCTGAAATGTGATAGGTCCACGAGCTGTGGACCTGATATGCGGATGCGCGTGGTGAGAGGGGAAGCGGGCGAATCATCTAAGCAAGTCCGTCAAGGATGATTAAAACTAGAACGCGCGGGACAGCAGTCAGTCATGCGGCGAGAAGAGTATGGGGGGTGTACGTCCATCGCACACGGGAATGCGAGGTTGATCACGTGATCCAGCTTCTTGCAGAGTTTTGGTTTTCCTCTCCATATTTCAACGGCCTGTGCAACGCGCAAGAGACACGCAGTCGTCGCCCGACGTACGACCTCAAATGCAGTAATTGGGTCCACTTTATGTCCACTATCCACCACATGCTGTGTATTTGAACTCTGAGGTACCTTATTTTCCGCCCTGAGCAACCACTTCGGCATGTATTCAGCCGACCGAATTGCCAACTGCCTTTGCGTGCGTCCAAATTACTTGCATTCACAACTACATATAAGCGCATACGTACGGTTTGGAGGGCCGTGCATAGACAGAATGCCTTGGTCTATCTGGGATGGCCATTGTAGTGTTTATGAACAACAATTTCAAGGCAGTGTTCCTTGGTTAAATCATGCATTGAAGCGCTCGCTTCATCACGTATGAGACAGTACCACCCTTAAAAGGGAGAAAGATGCTCAGTAGCTTTTTGGCACGCATATTTCAGCAGGACTTTCTTGTATGGGGTGGCGCGATGTGTTTCTTCGGATACCCGTTTCTAAGAAAAACGTTCTCGGGAAACTGGTCTCGTCATCGATCCTATCTGAAGAACAGATTATTGTGACTCTACTGAATAGGCACAAAAAGCAAGCTTTGTTTTCTCTGAACGAAACCAAGGAAGTGCATGTTCTGTTTTTTCTGGGTGGTTTTTCAATAAATGAACCTCTGTATTAAACCACCTGCCCGCCTACTTACAAGAACATCTAAGAAAGCCAGTGTGTTATTCCTCCTAAGTTCAGTCGTAAATGTGCCTTCTGCTTATTCCTCGTTCATTGCCGGTCGCGAAATTCTATGATGTCAATAAATTTTGCGTAATTCGTCGTCGCCTTTGCCTGGTTTAAGTCTTAATTGGCGATTACGAAAAATATTGGAGCAAGATGGCTTCTTAGCACCTGCAAATGGAGCAGCATTCGGTTGATGCCATTATAATGCCTTTGTAGTTTTGGTTTTCTATAAAGTAGGCACTTTCAGAATTAATCAAGCACAAAGCAATTAGTAAAGCACTTGGGAGTTATTATGTACTGACGGGAGGGGTGCCTTGTCAGACGTTAAAAGACAGGAAAGAGCTAATAAAGACCAGTGGAGAATTCTATCTTCGTCATTAGAAGAAGGCGTGCAGTGAGCAAGTCTTCTAACAGAGAAAACGTTTGTCAGAAGATCAAATTTCGCATCAGAAGTTTAAACGCGCCGCCTGTGTTAATCCTCAGAATCATAAAGAAGAGAAATAAAGTTGTGCATTTGGGTTTTTTAAGTTAAAACCATCACCGAGTAAACGCTCAGTTTCACAGCAATCTCAAGCATCCTATGATAGTTCCTCAAAGAAAACACAAAGGAACCTTCGGAATTATTTGCCTCATCGCATCTGCTCCCCTCTACTCACAAGCAGGGCAGGCGTACCAGTTACACATAGATCACGTTGGGCACCGTGATTAATATTCTGCTAACCATCTCAATTTCATGCTCTCAAGTCTTCCCCTTCGGTGTCACGACGAGGCTAGAAATAGACACTGCAGTATCCACTGTCTTCATTGGTGATACTTCCAGAT